GGCACAGAGGATCTGGCAGAGGGCAGTGGCTTTAGGGACTGAACACCTGGATCTGGGAGAGGAGGCAGAGCTTTGCCTGCCAGTTTGGATCCCACCCTGCTCTCATCATCCTCAATCCCCCTGTGCCCTCATCCATCCTCAATCCCCCTGTGCCCTCATCCATCCTCAATCCCACTCTGCTCTCATCCATCCTCAATCCCACCCTGCTCTCATCCATCCTCAATCCCACCCTGCTCTCATCCATCCTCAATCCCACCCTGCTCTCATCCATCCTCAATCCCCCTGTGCCCTCATCCATCCTCAATCCCATCCTGCTCTCATCCCTCCTCAATCCCATCCTGCTCTCATCCATCCTCAGGACCTCGGTGGTTCCCTGGGACAGCTGAGGAATTCCATGCTGAGACAACTTTGCTGCCAGATCCCTGCTGGCCTCAGCACATTTCCCAGGAATTCTCCATTCTCTTTTGGAAAAGGCCTGGAGAGCCCTCGTGGAGAGTCAGTGGCATTTTGCTTTGAAATGGTCACGGAAATTTTAAAGGTGAGCTGAAAATGGAATCAAAACTGGTTTGTTTTTCTCCCTGCTTCATGAATAATTGAATTATTAGTGACGAATTAGTGAATTATTACGAATTAGTGAATTATTCTCCCCAGCCAGGAGCAATCAGCAAAAGCAGCATGGATAAACCCAGCAAAGGATGCCTGGGTGACAGGGGGATGTGGAGTGGGAATAAAGGGGGGCTGGGAAGAAATGCCAGGAGAGGCTGTGGAGCCCTGGCTTTGTGGGAACAGGCTGGACAGACACGTGTCAGGGAAGGTTGGAGCTGAGCAGATTTTGCTGGAGGCAGGTGTTGCTTCATCTGAGCGACCTCTGCGGGTCCCTGTGGCCTCATGCTCAGTGATCCTGCTCTTCTTCCATCAGAAATGTCAGCCCAGCTCTTCCCTCCCTCTGCCAGGGCATGCAGAGCAGGTTTATCAGCTCAGTCCTCATCATTTTTGCCAACATTTTTCACAGTTGCTCCTTTCACCAGAGATGCATTTGTTTATATTGATATGAGCGAGCAAAAAGTAAGATTTAAAATGGGAAAAAATAAACCTCGATTTCCTCTATTTTTCTTGTATTTTCCAGTTGTATCAGTCGCCCATGAAATCTTCCAGCACAAGGAACACCCCGAGGTGAGAATAACTCCATCGTGAAGATTTGGCCTCAGGCAAACAGGAGAAGGCAAAGGAGGGAGATGGGAATCGATGCTGCTCCAAGATTTTTGCTGGAGTCTTTTAAAGGCAGCTCAGGTGTCCTGCCCATTTTACCACGCCCTCAGGATCTAAATCCATATTTATTTTCCTTGTCCCATCCTTTGTGCTTCGTCCCTGCAGCTTGACCCAAATAATTCCATGATCTGCAGCCTCGGAATCACAGACTGAGGCTGTGATTTGTCATTTTATATTTACAAACATAAATTACGAATTTATATTTGTAAATACCTGGAGGACTTGGTTTCACTGGCAGCACTTTTCCCAACCCTGCCGAGCTACAGGAGAGGGGAAGGCCCAAAGGGGACTGATTTTCCCTGAGTTTTCCTAGAGAAAAGGGCTCTGGAGACATCGGGAACATCCCTGCCTGTCCCGGATCCGCTCCCGTTCCCTGTCACAGGGAGGGACCTCACTTCAGCAATTCTTTTCAAGCCCTTTCTTGCATTTCTTCGGAGAAATTCAGCACCTGGTCCAGCTCATCCATTATTCCTTCCAGCTGCTCTCTGCTGTGTCAGGGCGGGCATTGAGGAGGTGAATTGATCCCGGAACGTGTCCCGTTCTTTTCTTCCCTGCCCATTGACTCGGCCAACATCTGCTCCGGTTAACCCGCGCTGGCCCCACAGCTCTGGCCATCCTTTATGATTCCAGAGCCCTCGGCATTGTGTCAGCAACAGCCGGGGTGTCCCGACACAAGAAAACTCTGCTTTTGCAGGGCTGGAACGGGATCCGTGCGCTAAAATCCCTCCTGGACAGCTCAGCAATAGCAGCGCTCACAGGAGGTTGATCAAAGTGTTTTCTCCCTAAAAATCATTTCCCACACGCTCACATCACGAAACCTGGCGGGTTCAGCTCCCCTTCCCTGCCAGGCTCCCGGGAATCACCTCAGACACTGCAAGATTTATCGGGTTTATTTGTTCTGCTGTGGGTTTAATTTTATTTTTTCTACTTTTGGGCATGAATTGCTTTTCACCCACTGCTCTGCCATAGGGGCTTCATTGGATACCTATGGATCCCATATGGCTCCTCTGGGAAACTGCTCCACGATAAATACTGGAAATAGGCACGGAGCAGATGGGAGGGAAGGGGCACCAGCTCTAACAGCAAAATCCTCGCTGCCTTCGCACGGTAACAAGTCCTGGGATGTGGGCAGGAATATATTAGGAAGGACAAGAGGTGTTCGAGAGACGCAGCCGCACTTTGCATGCGGTTCTGGTCCCCTTCCCGCTGTGGGGAGAGGAAAAAAAAAAGAGGATTTTAGGTTTCATTTCCAAGGCATTCCGGGCTCTGCGGCTCCTGAGGGAAGTGCCACAGAGAGGGGAACGTGACAGGGCAGACGAAAGGAGCCCGAGAGCGGCTCCATCGCATACAAATGCAGCCAGGTGGGAACACAGAGCTCCAGGAGCCAGGTGAGAGCACAGAGCTCCAGGAGCCAGGTAAGAACACACACACAGCTCCAGGAGCCAGGTGGGAACACACACACAGCTCCAGGAGCCAGGTGGGAACACACACAGCTCCAGGAGCAGCTCCAGGCTGGCTGGCTGGACCCAGTAGCCAAGCCCCGTGCTCCAGGAGCCGGGACAGAGCCAGGCTCTCCCCAAAGCCGCCGCTGGAATTCCGGCTCTGGCTGCACCAGCACGGGGCAGGCACCGGTTCCTGCACTCCGCAGGACCCGAGTGGGGTTCCCAGCCCTCTCAAAGGGTGGGGGAACAAAAGCAAAGCGATTTGGGCTTTTAAAGAAGCTTTCAGCTGCGGCTTTTCCAGGACCGAAGGCATCCAAGGGAAAGAAGAGAGGCAGCTCCTTTCAGTGAGCTCACAGGAAGGAAGGGGCCGGCACAAGCGGGGTCTGGGGCACACCAGGGGCTCCAGGGAGGGCAGGATGGGGAATTCAAAGGTAAAACACACACACAAACATCGGGAATAAGGGCAGAAGAACGGCCTCAGTGCCCCAGCCAAATCCTCACACAGCCCCTCTTTCCTACAAGAATCATTCCGTGGCGAGGCGAGAATGATTCTTGCAAACACCTCTCGTGTTCCCAAAGCTCTTTTCCCAGGAATCTGCAGCTCAGGGGCTTCCCCCGATGGCGACAGCCCTGCTTTCCACAGCCTTGTCCCCTTCTCCCATGGGATCCCTGAACCCACGCAGTCCCTCCCTCGGCAGGGATGAGCCGCGCTTCCGAGGAGCCTCGCTCCCTGCTTTTGTCACATCGTGGGATGCCCCCTAATGCTCACAGTGCTGCATCCCGGCCTCCAGCAGCATCCCAGCGCATCCCGGCCTCCAGGACCTGCTCTCCAACCCCCCGGAACATCCCTGGCACATCCTGAACTCCAGAATCATCTCCCCAATCCCCCTGGCACATCCCAAGTTCCAGAATCATCTCTCCAATCCCCCTGGCATATCCCCAATTCCAGAATCATCTCCCCAATCCCCCTGGCACATCCTGAACTCCAGAATCTTCTCCCCAATCCCCCTGGCACATCCCCAATTCCAGAATCATCTCTCCAATCCCCCTGGAACATCCCCAATTCCAGAATCATCTCTCCAATCCCCCTGGCACATCCCAAGTTCCAGAATCATCTCCCCAGTCCCCCTGGCACATCCCCAATTCCAGAATCATCTCTCCACCTCCGGCACATCCCAAGTTCCAGAATCATCTCTCCAGCTCCGGCACATCTCCCCTCAGCAGGGCAATCCCTGCCTCCATGACAAAACTCATTAAAGGTTACAGAAGCTTTGCTGGAGCAAATGGAAAGGTGAATTAAGTGCCAAAAAACTCAAATTGGGGCTCGGAGGCAAAAAAAAATGCCACCAAAGGATGTGGATTTTGGTGGTGATGGGCTGTAAATTTGCTGTTACTGCAGACCATGGTTAGGTGCCCAATGGATTCAGGTTCAGCACCTCCCAAATGTGCTGATAATGAAACGGGAAACAACGAGAGAGTAACAGACCCCTCACAAATACCCCAAAGTGTCCCAGGCGCTTCCCAGAGGTGTTAAACCTGCCACAGGAATGCAGGGCTTTGGAAAGGGGCAGGTGGCACCCCGGGACCAGGGCTGGGCAGTGGTGGCCAGTGCCACCAAGGCAGCGGGAGGCCAGCACTGGTGGTGGGAACCGGGATCCAGTCCCGGTTTGTGCCTTTATGGACGACGGGATGAGGATCCAGTCCCGGGAATGAATGATGGGATGTGGATCCATTCCCAGTAATTAATGATGGGATGTAGATCCAGCCCCATTAATGATGATGGGATGTGGATCCAGCCCCATTAATTATGATGGGATGAGGATCCAGTCTCGGGAATTAATGATGGTATGTGAATCCAGTCTCATTTAGCACTTTAATTAACCACATGGCTGAGGATCCAGCCACTTTCATTGACGGTGAGATGCCCATTAATTGGCGATCCAGCCCCACTAATGAGCGGTCCAGCCGCA